CATCTTCAAAATCTGGATTAGCATTTTTTTAACTCCTTAGTTCAAAAGTAGTATTCTTGATATGAACCTTCTATAAAAAATGACTAAGGCATAATGATCTGTACCCAAAAATGGTGGAGTTTATGAGATAATGATGATGTAACTGAATAATCAAAAAGCTAAACAATGGTTTGAAACACTTGTTAGTCATATGTCCTACAATGTTTGCTGTTAATGAAAACCAGCATTGGTTTCTTTTTAGTGAGGGTATCAGGAAAATTAGTATCAAGTAACTTTTTTTAAAAAATCTTAGAAGTAGAAATAAAGCTGTATGAAATACCCACAGTTTATTAACAATTTATATGTAAGCTATAATGTCTGAATAAACTCAAATTACAAAATGTGCATTCCCTGATTTTATACAAAATCCAAAGCAGTTTTAGAGGAAATTTTAACAAGAAAAACTTCATTAACATTAATATAAACTTAGAAAATTTGATCATATTAAAGAACTAAATATTTTCTTATACTTGAAAGGTAAAAACCGGATTGACTCATTTTTATTTATAAACTTCAAAGCTAAAGACAAAGGAGACATATATTAAGTCAGAAAAATGAATCATTTTTTGCTAACACTAGAAAATACAAACTCCCTTTGCAGGGGTGGGGGGGCTATTCTCCATTCTCTAAAAGTCCCAATATCACCAAAGAACAGAGAACAGGAAAGGAAGGCTAGATATAATGTTTAAACCTTAAGCAGAGAGATCACCACTACTGATCATATTTATTTCCTTGCTGAAAATTCTAGTGTAAGAAAGAGATCTTATGGCAACTGCAACCAGTTTCATTATGGATCCTATATACAGACTAGACACCTATATACTTAAATGACTTACAATACTTACCTGCACTATAAAAACAAAGTAAACTGAAAAAGAGTTACCTTAAAATTGCCAGGAATTTAAAACCCTTACTCAAACATAAAAACAAGTAAAATGCTTCAGGTTTTTCAAAACAATAAAGGAGAACCAAAGCAATTTTGGTAACCAAACAGGACCACCATGGAAAAAAAAACATTTCACAGAGAAAAAATTATTCCAGATTTAGCAAATTCGTATAAAGAATAAAGACACGTGTAGAAGATGAACATTCTGAAAAGTGTTTAAAATGGAAACCAAATGGAGTCTTGTTGAAGGGACTTGAGATATACTCAACCCATTAAACATTGCTGAAATCAGGTAAACAATCATTAAATATCTTCATTAGCATGAACAACATCCAGGAACAATTAATTACTTCTGAAAATATGCTCAATTAATAGTACAGAATCTTCATCAACAGAATACCCCCACCAAGCTAGTAGGGAAAAAACAATCATTTGCATGTTTTCCAGTTGAAAAGTAAAGTATTACCAAATAAAAAAATAATTGGAAATTTTTAAGGCTACAGTGTAGTCCCACTATAATTAAGTAGAACTTCTATTAACAATGGGCAATTCCTTCAAGCAATCTCCACATCAAATTTTGCTTCTATGTAATAAGTACTTAGCCCCACTGAGAAAGAAATTATGAGAAAATTATGGAGTATTATTAGACCCAATTAAGCATTCTTCAAATATAAGGTAAATATTTGTATGTGTGTTCCAGGGGAGGGTATCCATATAAAAAAAATCTCAGCTTTTAGTCAAAATTGGAATAAAAAAGAATACTTAGAAAAAAATCTACAAATAACATACTGAAAAGAATTCTTTTTAAGAGAGAATGGACTCCTCACTGATTTAGTATGCAACCTCTAAAGACAAGCCTGGTTTAACGATCCTCAACACTAACACTGTTAAACTTGAACAAACTAACATCTTACCACTCAAGCTAATTCACAGTGTAGGTATTCAAATATAGGATATTAGAAAATGTCTGGTCAAAATATCGCTTTTACAGATTCATACTGTATTTTCAATGCCAGATAACTGTAGAAATGCAACCATAATAAAAAAATTACAAAAATGAATATTTTTTCAATGAAAGAACCAATTTAAAACACAATAGGTATCTGAAAGGCAACATTAACATAATGGTAAATTCAAACAGCTGACTTTAAAATTACATGTGTAATTTAAATAACCTGACAAACTATTTCATATTATTATCCCTTTCAAAAAGTACATAAAGTCTAAGCTAGAAAATTCTAAGTAAATTCCCAATTATACAAAATTCAAACTAGAAAGTTAGTCTACTATTTACATTTTTGTCTAAAAATTTCAACCAAAAAAAGTTAAACTGTCAACCTATAATGTTTTTTCATTGTTTATTAAATAAATGCAATTAAACAGAAATTAATTTACAAGTTAGACCACTCTATCTCACAATAGCATACATTTACTTTCAAATATGAATGATGCTGCATAACAGTATGCTAAAATACCAAATTTATATATTCACACATACTAAAGTATTTAGGACATGGCTAAGTTTTTTAAATGACCTCAAAAACTATTATAGCTTTAAAAACAGAAAAGACAGAAACAGTAGCGAAATCCACTGTAAAACTTTCCCATAAATATATGTAAGTATATATGTTTAGGGAATTATAAAGCATTTACTTCCTCAATATCAGAAATATCAAAACTTCTTTGGCTACAAACTACCCTCCATACCTTGATTTTAACAAATTCTTTCAACTTTCATGAAAAGATGCATTATAATTAAAATTAAATGCTTGAACAAGAAAAAAGTTTTATAGAAATTTATTGCATCCAAATACTTAAGCATTGGCATTAATACACTATTTACCTCTCCATAAACGTCAACACTGAAAATGTATTAACAACATTGCTAAAAAATTAAAGCATATGAAATGTATACACAATTTATACACAATTACACAATTGTGTACAAATTTACACACAATTACAATATGCTATGTACTAAAATACAACCTACTCAAAAATGTGAAATTGGTAAATATTAACTCCAAGACTTAATCATGATCCACAAATAAATTTTTAAAAGTTGCTTAGTGCATATTCAAATATTCTCAAATACATTATCTATGCTAAAATAGTTCCAGAAGGTATTTGTATGCCCATCATGGGTATTAGATACCTCTTTGGTATGTTGAAAATGAAACAAGTTATTAATGATATATTTTATAAAGGCACATTGAAATAAGTATAAAGAAAAACATGTTCAAGATAAAATTCTTCTCAAAAGTACTGAACAGGGTTGTATTTTGTAATCACAAATACAAGATGGAATTAAATAGACTTTCCAATAAAATACTTGCCAGTTACAGAGAGATAAAATCAAGCAACTTAAAAGATGAAAATAATATTCATATTTTGACAAGTTCTAACTCAAATATAAAATTATCATACTTCAATGACACTCTCATTTACTGGCTAAATATGAGATTAAGGTTCATCACGTATATAGTTAAATTAGAATATAGCATGTATTAAACATTATTAGCCTTTTAATAACATTTGAGTCCTCATGGTTTACAGGAAAACAAATTAGTAGTCTAAATAAATAAAGAGGAATTAAAGCATTTTAAAAGAGATTTTTTAAATGCTTTCATAATCTTGCTATGATCATGTACTATAAAAATGGCTGATGAATAAAATGTATGCCTTTACCAATCCTTTATGGACCCCACCCCATCTCATAAAATAATGGATACATATATTTCTTAATAAAAAAACATAAGTACGTAAGCAGCATCTGAATCATTGTGCCCATGATTAATCCCTATTTAAAAGTACAAAATAAAATTGTTCATTTACCTTAATAAAAACATTCTCCTATTAGAAGAATGCTGGTATTAGAAACAGAAAAGCCTATCAGCATCAACAAGATATAGAAAACAGAGCTAGAATAACAGCCGGCCCACAGCATTTACTAACTCAAAGTTAATTTCCTACAAAATTATGACACAAAAATTACATGCATATTTTCATGTTTTCTTAGTATTATAACTTACTAGTAGGAATAAATGGATGGTTAATATAGTGTTCTTTAGTAAAACCATCAAGTCTATCATTGATAATTGGTGTTGGAATTAATCAGGGAAAATTTCATCCAACCCTTTCATTTTAGGAATCAGAAAATTTTGGCAGAATAGTTAAGTCACTTGCGCACAATCACACAGACAGTTAAAGAAGTTTTACAACTAGAAATCAGATATTCTTAACCCCATTATTCTAAAATTCCACCTACTACACCACACGATCTTGTTGAAGATTACGAGTGTGGGATATACTATATTTCAGGAAGTGTTTAAAAGATAGGTAAAAAAAAAATTAGGGTTATATTCTTTAATACATTTTCATTATTCTTCATTGTTAGGACATGGGTGTGTCTTTGTATTTTTTTCTTCTCCCGCCATCCCTTAGGTTAAGTGAATCTGTAAAGGCTACACTTTACTTCTTAACCTACTGTTTAAGTCTTATTAAAATTAATACTATCATACTATCTATTTTATTTGAAAAATGGTTAAAAGCCAAATCAGTCTGGACACCTTGTAAACTGATACTTATTTTGAAAAGAATTTCTTAATCTTAAATATCAGAGCAATCTCCTTTTCTTCACTTTGAATGGGTCTTAATAAATAGGACCACCATATTAGATGGCAATTAAAAACAATAATCAGATATTGAGGAGAGAGATGTCTGTTGTCACCAATTTATTGAGATATGATTTACCTTCATCAATAAAATAATCTGAAATTAAAATATTCTCAAAAAATTATCACAGTTTACATGGGAACGTAAAATTGACAGTGCTGTATTTATAACACACCCTATGCTAGGTGTGTTAATATTTATATTTACTTTCTCTTAAGGTTTCTGAGTTTTAGCCCATTTTCTGGCCTTTCTTTCAAACTTGCAGGAAGACTGTGAGCGAGTCTTTCTAAGGCAGGCACTCCTGGTTTTTACAACCGGCTTGCGGTTCCGTTGCTGCTGTTTGTGCCCACGCCTAGGGTGTGTTATAATCTTTTTTAAGTCCTTACGGATGGAATCATACCTATTCTCAGGATCATTGTCGTCATCATCATCATCCACTGTGACAGGCACTGATTTAGATAAGGCTTCATCTCCTTGAGGGGAAAAAAGTGTACTTAAAATTAGCTTTAAATTATCTATATAAGTAAAATCATGTAAAATAAAATTGAAAGCCAAAAACATCAAAACAACTAGTGGGTTCTCAACTGTACTCTGGATCTAAAACATGAGTAAAAAAAATTTATAAGGAAAGCACAATGGGGAATTTATGAAGTGCCAGCAGTAAAACAACAGTTGGATTTTATATATTTCGAAGTTTCTTCCCAGAATACAACAGTTTAAAGCTAATCCTTCTTAGTAACAAGTCTTTATCAATTTGGCATCACAGTACCATAACTTCCTTGCTGAAATAAGCTTTGTAGTGATCCATTTTAAGTTTAAAGTTAACAGATGTCTAATTTATTCTGTTAAATTGAAGAATAGCAAAATTACTATTAATATTTTGGTAGTAGCAAGTAAAATATACTTAAATCTGTATTGTAGTCATGATCAGAATTACCAAGAGATATATTCAAGTATAGTAAAACTGATTTCCTTATAAAAAGCTACACTGCTATCCTTTGATTAAAAATCTAAAGAGGTTAGGATTTGTGCACTTCACTATGTAAATTTTACCTCAAAAACAAACTTATATATTAACCTCTAATTAATACTATATAGGCTAAAGTAATTAGGGAGTAGTATGCTGATGTTTACCACTTATTGTGAAATGCAAAGATTTCAAGGGCATTACACTGAGTGAAAAAAGCCAATCTCAAGGTTACACACTTCATGATTCCACCCCAAAATAACAAAATTAGAGATGAAAATGAAATTAACACTTGCCAGGGGTTAAGAATGGGAATAAGCAAGGGGATGTGTAAAGGGGTAGCACAAGGGACCCTTGTGGTAATGGAATAGTTCAGTATCTTGGTTGTAGTAGTGGTTATACAAAGCTACACATGTGATAACAATTGCATAGAACTATACTTACATATACATACACTCACAAATCAGTGCATGAAAAACTAGTGAAACTGCAATAAATCTTCAGTTTCCTGGTTTTGATATTGTATTATAGTTACACAAGATGTCACCACTGGGGGAAACTGAATTAAGGGTATTGTTCAAGACCTCCCTGTATGTTTTTGTTTTTTATTTTTTTTTGCAATGTCCTGTGAATTTATAATTAATTCAAAATGAACAGTTAAAAAGGGAAAAAACTAGGTACATTGATGGATAAATAGAAGGATATATAAACAGATATGTGATAAAGCAAACACAGTACAATGTTAATGACAGAAACTTTCCTGTATATTTAAAACTGCTTTGAGGGCACCTGGGTAGCTCAGTCAGTTAAGTGTCTGACTCTTGATTTCGGCTCAGGTCATGATCTCAGGGTCATGAGATCAGGCTCTGTGCTGAGCATGGAACCTCCTTGAGATTCTCTCTTCCTCTCCCTCCCCCTCCCCCAGCTCAAGCGCTCTCTCTCTAAATAAATAAATCTTAAAAAAATAAAATAAAATTGCTTTATAATAAAATATAGAGAGGAAATGAAGGAAAAAATTCATAAAGAACACAGACACCTATAGGTTCAGGATAGAAATATGCTAAATACAGAAAGGCAAAAATAAATCTTAGAATATCCTACCAAACTCACAATAAATACCTCAAGCAGACCAATCTTCAAATGAAATATTACTAGTAATATTACTGTCATTCCTCTACTACACTTCTCAAAATCTGACACATCCTTCAAAGTTGAGTTCAAATGTTACCTGTTCTTTGAAGTCTTCCTCTAATATTTAGATTAAATGGCCCACTTGCTATTTATTATGCAGCCCCATTTTAGTTTTATATGTTTCTTCTGGTATTTTTTTAAATAATGACTTATCTATGTCTATGTTGTTCATGGGACTGCAATCTCCTAGGACCATGTTCTTCATTTTAGTTGCTCATGCCATTCCCAAGTCCAAATTTTTCTAGTAAACTACCGTACCTCATAACAGGATACCCAACTATGGCTGAATAAACTGGAATTATCTAAATATCTGGGAGCAGGGGAGCCTTTTTAAAAGTTCAAAAATAATGTTCCCTTAAGTTGGACACATTAAGAAAATATACTATGTCTATACATGCATACAAATTATTAAGGAATGCCACTTATCGGGACGCCTGGGTGGCTCAGTCAGTTAAGCGTCTGCCTTCGGCTCAGGTCATGATTGCAGGGTCCTGGGATCGAGGCCCGCGTCAGGCTCCCTTGCTCAGCTGGGAGCCTGTTTCTCCCTCTGCCTGCCACCCCCACTGCTTGTGCGCTCTCTCTCTGACAAATAAATAAAATCCTCAAAAAAAGGAATGCCACTTATCATTGGCTCACACCTAAACTTATCTTGAAACAGTACTTTTTATAGTGCTTATTTTCAACACCCTTCATAATCTTTTCTGCTTAAGCATTTTTACAAAGGCCAATTTTTAGATGTGTTAATTCCCAAGCAAAATTATCTTTTTTTCATCTAAAGTAATCAGTTCCAAGAAATATCCAGGATAAAGAAAATCCAAACAACATGGCTTATTCCACCAAAATGTTGAGACTGGCATCTGCAGAAAAGCTCAATTCTCGAGGCTTCTGTAGATACATACATGAAAAAAGGATCACCTCCTAACCAGCACGATGATCCTTCAGAACAGAGTTATATGGAACACAATGATCAAAATGGAACACAGTGATCTAGACCAGTGCTCAGGTAAGGAATTATTGGGAAATGCACCCTACAATATTTGCCATATGTTGCCATCTCTCCTTAAGATCTGATGAATACATATTATACTATGTACTAATAATTCCAAACATGAGAGGTATATCATACAAACCTCTCATACAAACCTCTCATATGTGTCAAATCAAGTTAGATTTTGGGAAATGAAAATCAGCAATTGAAATCAAACATGTTGTTTTCACTAGGGAAGCTGTTTAATCATGGAAACCAGTTTTCCAAAGTTTAATTCAATAGCCTACAATTTGCCAATGAGAATACTCCATGTAACTACTCACGATTTATTATTCTTATACTCTAATCCTTAATAAGAGTTTTCCCAACTAACCTGATAACAAAACACTGAATACAAACAATCTCTTACACTACCATACAGTTGAGCCTTGAACAACACAGCTTTGAACTGCACAGGTCCACTTATACATGGATTTTTTTTTTTTTAACAGTACACCAGTATAATTATTTTCTCTTCCTTATGATTTTCTTGTTATTTCCTTTTCTCTAGCTTATACTTTACTGTAAGAATATAGTATATAGTATATAAAATATACAAAATATGTGTTAATCAACTATTTATGTCATTCGTAAGGCTTCCAGTCAACAGTAGGCTATTAAGAATTAAGTATTTGAGGGGCGCCTGGGTGGCTCAGGCGTTAAGCGTCTGTCTCTGGCTCAGGTCATGATCCCAGGGTCCTGGGATGGAGTCCCGCATCAGGCTCCCTGCTCAGCGGGAAGCCTGCTTCTCCTTCTCCCACTCCCCCCCTGCTTGTGTTCCCTCTCTCGCTGACTCTGTCAAATAAATAAATAAAATCTTAAAAAAAAAAAGAATTAAATATTTGAGATGTCAAAAGCTAAACATGGGTTTTTGACTGAACAGGGGGTGAGCATCCCTACCCCCTGCATTCTTCAAAGGTCAACAATCAAGGCTCTCAAAACTAAGTTTTACAAGCTGTTGCCAAAGTTCATTTGGCTGCAAAACCTAATCTAAACTGTTCATTCCTTTAAGTCTGAATGTTCACATGTTTTGTGCAGAAATACTAATTTGTTTAATTATGGGAGTGTTGCCTCACATGTGATTGGGGCTATTACATAATATATGCTAACTAATCGATATTATCTTTCTAAAAGTCAAAAAAGTTGGAAATTCTGAAACACTGAGGCCAACAATTTTGGGGACAGTAGTTAAAAGCCATATAGGCATCTGATACAGCAACGCATTAAACTGAATATGCCATGAAAATCACACTTGGTTTTCAAAACAACTCATCAGATAAGCACTCCATACAAGGAATGTGAAGTTTTATTAAAAAGCAATACTCAGGGATATTGCAATAAGCAATATCAGGGATGCCTGGGTGACTCAGTTGGTTAAATGTCTGCCTTCAGCTCAGGTCATGATCCCAGGATCCTGGGATGGAGCCCTGTGTCCGGCTCCCTGCTCAGCAGGGATTCTGCTTCTCTTTTTCCCTCTGCCCCCCTCCCACTGATTCTCTCTCTCTCAAATAAAATCTTTTAAAGAAATAAAAAAATAAAAATAAAAAAATTTAAAAAACAATTCAAGTTAACTGCACAAAATCTAACTGAGATAAATGGAAACTCTTAACCTAAGGACTGAAAGGAAAAATTTAAACATTCTACCTGTGCTGGGAACACATTTATACCTAAAATCTCCTTTATAAAAATTTAAAAATAAAGTTCAGGTGGATTTCTGGTGAAGATGGCAGAGCAGGAGGATCCCAGGCTCACCCCATCCTATGGTTACATCTACGTAACAGCCACATCAGTGCAAATAAAAAAGAAAATGACCTGAAGACGGGCAAAACAGACTTTCCACAGCTAAATGTAGAGACGAGGCCACAATAAAGACGGTAGAAAGGGTGAAGATGCAGTGTGAGCCAAAGTGACCTGTGGATCTGTCAGAAGCAAGGAAGGATGCCACAGGCACATACAGGGAAAAAGAGCAGACCCCAAGCTATGCACCCCAGGCATGGCAGACCCACACACCAGGAAGACAAATCTCAATAACATTTGGCTTTGAAAACCAGAGGGACCTAACTTCCCAAGAACTTACAACTCGTGGGGATTCACACATTACATTTTAAAAATCAGCAGGCTCAACTCTGGAAGAACCAGGGGGCAATAGGAAATTGAGTCCCCATCCTTAAGAGACAACACAACAAACAACCCCACTGAGATACAGCATACAAACAGCAGTTTGAAAAGGGTCTGGGGTATATGAGAAGGTGGTTTCTTTATTAACCTCAGAGCATGTGCTGGAAGGG